GATAATCCGAGCAGCAGCAGTAGCAATTCCGCCACTACCCGCAACCATGTGACGCGTAGTCGGAGTCTGGGTGATCAACAGGAGACTATTACCAGGAGCGTGCCAGCGGCAGTGCAGCAGCAACAACAGCAGGAACAGGAGCGGGTGATGCAACAGCAGCAGCATCAGGTGCAAGTGCAACTGCAGCGGCAGCGCAACAATTCCGTGGGCAGCAATACGCCCTCCAGCGCCTCCTCGACCAGTTCCAGCTCCGAACAGAATTCCCCCGTGAGCACACGAAGCGGCAGCAACCGTCGCCGCCTGCAGAGCAACAACGAAACCCAAATGCCTTCATCCACAATGACAGCAGCATCAGCAACTACAGCAGCAACGCTTGCTCCGCCAGCCTGGATACCCGATGGCAAGGCGCCACGTTGCATGGCCTGCCAGACGCCCTTCACTGCCTTCCGGCGCCGTCATCACTGTCGCAACTGTGGCGGCGTCTTCTGTGGCGTCTGCTCGAATGCCACCGCTCCACTGCCCAAATACGGCCTCACCAAGGCGGTGCGCGTCTGTCGCGACTGCTATGTGCGGGAGGTCCAAGTCCGTTCCTCCACCTCCGCCGCAAGCGTTGGCGTTCAGATGCAGAGCCAGGCGGGACGAGCTCAGACGGCGAGCGCCTCTTAGGACCGGCCATTGGCGCTTTTCAGCGCAGCTGAGGACCAAAAAATAAGTGACGCAAGTGGACAGCAGATGGGAAAAGCAAACTGTGAAACGCAATTGTTCTTCAAAAATTGTTTTCTTTATTTTATACGTAAACCTAAAACTAAACCTAAACCCAAACCCAAACCCAAACCCATGCACAAAGCGGCGGGGGCTTGCATAAATAGATCATTCAGTTATACATATATATAAATGACTATATATAATCAAGGAATTATGTATATAAATATTATTTTGTTTTGTCCTCAAAAAAACAATGACCAACCCAACCCAACCCAATCAAAACGCGAGGTAATGCTTCGATTTAAGACTCTATTTTTGTTCATATCAAATCAGACTTGTCGACGGCTGGGCGCCAGCTATAAGTTTTGGCCAGCATTTCAATAGTAGATCGAATAATACGTATTTTCGTTTTTGTTAGTGTTTATTTTTCGCTGTTTCTGTTTCTGTTTTCTATTGAGGGCTTTAGGGGAGCACCTAGCTCTAGCTTTAAAACATTGCAACAATCTTTTTGTCACTAGCCAAGGTCCAACGATATATATCGGGACAAATATATATATATATATCGTATAAGTGTATATTTTTCTAGCATTGATTGGAAGGATTGATCCACGACGTAGTAGGCGTTAATTGTAGCAAAAATTTGCGAAATACTTTTTGTGATTTATCGTAATTTTCGTATGTATTAATTAATTTTATTTGTAAAACGCTCGATCGCTCGTTCGTTCACCTCTTTCTTGACTTGCGATGGCATATTGTATGGTAGTCCTGTAATCTGTGTGTAATTGGAATCTGAAGTCCTTCAATTTCAAAAGTATTTCAAAAACAACAAAAAATACAATAAATAGTAAACAAGTATCCACATTCGATACCATACCATACCATACCATATATATATATATATATATATTTTCTGATTCAAACTTGTATAAAACCAACAACAAAATAAGTGTAACAAAACGAAAATAATCTGTAAACAATTCTGTTTAAGAAATATATGCAATTTTATGCTTAAATAAAATCCAAAAAGATTCAAAGATTTTGTATTTGTTTTAGGAAAAATTGTGGCTGGACTCGTGATGCACAAGAGTATGCAGCAAAAGAGAATACTGGAGAATGGTTACCAAAGCTGAAAGGGAAATCCATGTTTTAGTGATAAGCCACTCTGGAAGAGAAATTGCTACCTAGCAGTAGAAGATTTAATTCAGAATCTTATCGAGAAACAAAACTTGTTTCAATTGCTCACCTAGTAGTCCTCTCCGCAAACATCAGCATCATGTAGTAGTTCATTTTCATTTCAGTTTGAATTCATTCATTACACCACACGTTTCCTTTTGCACAGGGATTTTCCTTTTTTCCCCTACTTACACACCCACACACACATTTTTGTTTCGTTTGCACCTTTTGTGCATTGAATTCTGCAATTTATTTGATTTGGTTTCCAACCCAAAAATGTCCGCCCGAAAGCGCAGCGGTTCCCGACCTCGAGCTACCAAAGAATCCCTGGTGGAGCCTGAGTTGCCATTGGAAGAGCTGTTTGCCGACAATGTGGACGTAGCACAGATCGATCTGCTTGAAGACCTCAACGAGGACTTCTTTGCCACATCCTATCAGCTGGTGCAGCATCTGTCCACACGAGATAACTTCGTGGCGGGCAAGATCAAGCGGTATGTCGATATTCTGGCCCGCATTCATGCCCGGTATGTCAGTGAGGTGGAAAGCGGCGTGGCCATGCGACAGAAGGTGGCGAATTCCGACGAGAAGCTGGACCTGGCCCTGAAGGCAACGGCCATCTCGGAGTCGATGATGGAGAAGCTGCGTGAGGCTCTGACCGACTCCTGGCGCACCACGGACGCAGTCAAACATCGGGAGGCGCTCATGCAGGGCCAACTGTTGACGCTGGCAAAGAGTGGGCCACGGCACACAAAGAGCGACACGCAGGACGATCGTATCAGTCAGTAGGTTTAGCTCTTGCTTTGCCAAAGAGATTTTTCTGTCTCCTAAAGATTTTCATTGTTCGATTTGCAGGCAGGAGACTCGCATACGGGGCATGGTCTACAGGGAGCGCGATCGTGTGGCTGGGGAACTGAAGGACTATCAGAAGCGCTTGGAGCTGTATCGCATATACTCTGAGACGCTGGATTCAGTGATTCAGTCGCTTCGCGATACCGTCTCTGGCCAGCAGATGCGCATCAAGGTGCTGGAGGCCGAGGGCTACAAGGCGCAGCACAAGCATCGCAAGGACATCGAGATATACGAGGAGAGAGTCATGTTAATGCGCAAGGAGCTGGATGCAGCCCAGCAGAGTCTACGCGCATTGAAGCTGAGCGAAAAGGAAAAGCTCGAAGTGATGGCCATGAACGAGAGACTCAAGCTGGCCAATGAACATCTCTCCCGCGAGAACTACACCGTGTCCAGGACATTCCATCACAAGCAGGAGGAAAAGAATCGATTGGTGTTGAACCTCAAGATCTCTGAGGACATGAACAGTGCGCTGCGGCGGGACAACGACGATCTGGAGGCCTATCGGCGCAACATTGATCGCGAACTGAAGAAGAAAGTCGATGATGCGGTGCTGCTGGAACGTCGCTTCATTCAGCTATCCAAAAAGAATTCCGACTTGAGTGATCAGATTATAGTTAAGGAGTGAGTGAGAGTCGTTCACCTCTATTGAGGATGCCTCTCCAATGATACTCTCTCTCTCTCTGCAGCAACGAGATCAGAGCTCTGGAGAAAAAGCAGGCAATGACCATGGCCAAGCTGGAAGAGGTCACACACCAGAAGGATGACATCGTACGCACACGCGGCAAGCTGCAACTGGAAATTGTTCGTGTTAATGATGTGGCTGCGGGTCTACGGCATGGCATTGCCGCCCTGCGCACTCAAATTCAAGATGTGAACATGGATCTCACTCGTGTCAACAAGAAGTTGGATGAAAAAGAGCTTGACGTGCATAGGATTGCCAGGGAGAAGCGTGAAGTGGCTGTAGAGCTCAACGAAGCGCAAAAGAAGATTGAGAAAATAGAAGGTGAGGCAGAGATGTGTGATTGCTGATCGTAATTTTCCTCCCTTAGAGTCACTGCATATCAAAACCGAGCGACTTGAGTTGATCCAGGAGGAGCTGCAGCGCAAGCATCAGGATTTCATGGATGCCAAGAAGCAAATGGAGATTGCACACTCGGAGCGTGTGATGCTGCTTAAAACGATGGATATGTGCTCGCGCGATCGTCAGATATTGCAGAGCACTGTAAGCCGGCTGACGCATCAGATCAATCAGCTATCGAGCACGGTGGCCATGAATGAGAAGGACATCTCCTCGCTGCACAAGGACATTGACCAGCTGAACAGCACCATCAAGCAGAAGCAGAACGAGATCCACGCAAAGGAGCGGCTGCTGGCCAGCACGCGCGATGATCTGCACGAAATGAAGATCCGTTTCGAGCAGTCGCAGCACACAATCGATGAGGATGAGAAGCGCTTCAAGCATATCTCCTGCACGCTGGAGGAGGTGTCCAAGGAGAAGAGCCTCGTGGGTCTGCAGATGGTGCGACGGAACGACGAGGTGCGGCTGCTGCGCGAGAAGGAGACCATCATGCAGACGGCCCTCGATCGAGGCACATCGCAGTACAATCAGCGGCTGGAGGACATTCGTCTGCTCAAAATGGAGATCGTCAACTTGCGCATGTCCCACCAGTGCATGCAGCGGGAGGTGGGCAACAGGGCGACCATGCGCCAGGATGTGGTGCGACTGGAGCGGCAGCTGCTGCAGGAGCGTCTGCGCATCTCTGCCTGCACAGCGGAGATGGCCATTCCACTGCGCATCCATCGCTGGCGCGTGATGATCGGCAAGGATCCCCGCCGCTACGAGCTCATACGCAAGATCCAGGCGCTGCTCAAGCGCAACATTCGCCTCAATGTGCAGCTGCAGAATATGTCCATGCAGCTGCAGGATTCGGTGCGACTGTACGACACCCTCAAGGCGCGCATCAAGCATCTGCCCGATCCCAGCGTGCGGGAGAAGCTCTGCACGCAGCAGCGCATCAATCGAAGGCAGCAGAACAAGCTGCGCGCCTTCAAGGCCGAGCTGATCATCAACGAGATCGATCTGAAGAGCCGCGACTGTCTGCTCAAGGAGTGCCAGAGGCTACAGCAGCCCAACCAGAGTGAGGCAAACATTGCAGCGGAGCACAAGCGGCGCTTGGACAAGTACACGGAGCAGTATTACCACGAGAACTCCTCCGCCTCCGGCTATGGCTTCTGCAAGAAGAGGAAAGTGAGTCTGAGTAGCTGAGGTTTTATTTGTGCTCATGATTAAAGCAATGTGGTGACCATCTTGAAGCCCGCTCCGAGGGTACGTGGCAGCTGCGGGGGTGCCGAGTAGCAGTGGGCCTGCATTTGCTCTAAGAGTTGACGTTCCTCCAGCAGCTTTTGCTTGCATTTCTTCTCCTCCAGCAGCTGGGTCTTGGTCAGCGCTAGGTTCATGCGCATTTCCTCCAGCTTCACGACATTGGACTTCTCGTCCGCCTCCTTGACAGTCAGCTCTGCCTTGAGTACCCGCAGCTTACGCTCCTTGGCTGAAAGGCAGGCCTGAAAAGGGAACAAAGATTGTAATACGAACTGGAGTGAGAGTTACCCTACCCACCTTCACGCTGTTCAGCTCCGCTCGCACCTTGTGGCTGGGCAGCTTCAGCATAAACTCTTTCAGCGCCGCATGCAGCTGCTGCGCCTCGTTGAGCGCACGCTCATGCTCCAGCGCGGCCACATTTTGGGAGAGCAGCTGCTTGCGTAGGATGCGTATGCGTTCGAGTAGATCCATCTTCTCGGGATCCTTGCCGCTGAGCAGGCGCCAGCGATGCACATTCATGGGGGTGACCATCTCGTCCTGCAGCGCACGCGCCTTGATGCGCTCCTGATTGAGCATGCGATGCATTTGAAGCAGCTCCTGCCGCAAATCGGCGGCACTCTCGCGATCGGCACGCAGCACATCGCGTTCGGTTCGCAGATTCTTGATCTCCACACCCATCAGCCGCATATCGTCCTGGCACTGGCTGCACTGGCGCTCCGTCTGGTCGTAGACTGTCTGTAGGTTTTCCAGCGTGTGCTTCAGTCGATCGTACTCCTCGTTGCGCTTGGTCAGCGCCGAACTGATGGCATTCTTCTCGTTCATCAGGTTGTCCACATCCTTGCGCAGGCGCGCCAAACGCTGCTCGTCCTCCTGCAGCGACTTGGCTTGGCGATCGTTCTCCTTGCGCTTGTCCAGCAGCTCGGCCTTGGTGTGCTGCTGCCCCAGCTGCGCCTGTCGCACCTCGTTGCGCAGCATTCGGCGCTCCTTCTCCATGCGATCGATCTGCAGCTGCAGCTTGTTCAGCTCCCCATCCCGATACGAGATCTTGCCCTTGAGCTTCTCGATGTGCGACTGCAGATTGACCAGCTGGTCGCGCAGCTTCTGGCGTTCATCGTCGGCCAGTTGGAGATTTCGCTGCAAACTCTGCCGCTCGTTGGCCAGAACATCGTGCTGCTGCTGAAACTTGGAGCACTTGGCCTCCAGATCGCTAATGGTGCGCTTCAGCTCGATTTCGTAGTTCTCCTTTAAGCGCATTTCATCTGTGGATAAAGGGGAAACCCTTCTGAGAAACAGCTCCCTAGAGTTCAGTCCTAAACTTACTCTGCAGCGCATCGAGCTTGTCAATCCAGTGCTGTATCTCATCCAGCTTCTTGGTCTTCTCCTTCTTCAACTTGTTGGCATCCTCGTTGAGTTTCTTCAGCCTGATGTCCATGCTGCTGATGGTGTCGGTGAGTGCGCGCACCTCATGCTGTGACTCCTGATGCTGCGCGCTCACCTGCTCCAGCTGCTGGTGCTCCGCCTGCAGGTCTCTGCGCAAAATGTCCCGCTCCTTGGTCAAGTTCTCGTTGTTCTTCTCAAAGTGATGCACCACGCGACGCATCGACTCCAGCTCCTTGTCCTGTGTGCCCAGCTGTGTTCTGCATAGCAAGATAGGGATTTAAATGGATCTTTATCTGCCCAGAAACAAACTCTTACTTCAGCCGTATATTCTCTTCTTCCACCTCCCGCTTGGCCTCATCCAACCCAGCGTATTTGCGTGCAATTGTTTCCTGCGACTTGGCCAGCTTGCCATTGTCCTGCCGCACTTTGATCAGCTCATCCTCGCGCACCTTTAGCAGATTGATGCGCTGATTCAGCGCCCGCTTGTTCTTGTCCCGCTCCTGCACCGTGTACTCCAGATCCACGGTGAGTTTGGCCAGCTTATTGCTCGTCGCATTGTGCTGGGTATTGAGGTGCTCGAGGTTTGTCTTCAGCGACAGAATCTGCAGATTCTGACGGACCTTGACTTTGGTCAGATGCTCATTGGCGGACTTCATGTGCGAGATTTGTTCCTGGTATTTGGTCTCATCGCTCTTCATGGTGGCCAGCTCCTTGGCCAGAGCATCGCTCTTGCGCTTCAGATTGCAGGCATCGGTGGAGGTTTCCTAAGGGAAGAGCAGCTGCTGAGACTGAGAGGTCCAGAAAGAAAGTAAACTCACATCCAGCAGCTTGACCAATTCCTTGTTCTTCGCCTCCAGCCCCTCTATGGTGTTATCCAGCTCGGCTGTGCAGGAGCGCTGCATCTGCAGGCGCTTGTTCAGTTCGTTTATTTCGGCGGTGAGTCGCTCCCGTTCTTTGCCATCGTCACGCTTGCTCATGGCCAAACGTTTCTCATTGAGATGGGCCACCATTTGCTCGGACTCGTCCAGTTTCTCGCGCAAACTCAGCACCTCATCCTGTGCGGATTGTTCGCGGATCTGTGCGGCATCCTTCTGCTTCCACGCACCCTCTGAAGAAAGGTTTGTAAAGTTCCTTTGTGGCTACACTTTGACTCTCACTCACCTATAACCCCACGCAGCTCCTCGATGGTGGCCATGTCCATTTTACTCACTCGCGCGGCATTCTCCAGGCGCCCCTCGAGCGTCTCGATTGACTTTTGCAGCTCCTGCACCCGCTCCCGCTCTAGGCGTAGATCATTCTTGTAGCGTGTGCCACAGATGAGCAGCCGTTGCACATTGTCAGCATTATTGGGCGTGTCCTTTTGCCGCAAAGCCTTCGTTGCCTGTGGATAAAAGGGGATTCATATTGAGTTTCTGGTTGGGCAAACATTGAGACCTCACCTCTGGTATCTTCTCGCCCAGCTCTCGGTAGAAATCATCATCGAAATCATCTGGCACCAGCGGCTCCTCTTCAGAACCGGAAGCCTTCGACATGCTGCAGTTTTGTGCTTCGCTGCGCTAAAGTTATTGACAAAACCCGGCGCACAGGGGGCAGGGGCTGCCCGTGGCAACAACAGGTTTTGTTTGCTTGGAATCTCGTCATTTATTGGACAGCTGTGCAATTGAAGCGTCTGTGCTCTTAGTCGTTATGGAAACAAAAATAATCTACACTTGCTATCACTTAATATTGTAATTAGGCTCACTTTGGAATTGATTAATTATCTATAATGCTACACTAAAGCTAAAGACTGAACACAATTATTTGCATGTTGAAAACAATTAAACTTAAGCTAAGGAATGCCACTAAATTGAGTTTGTTTTTTGGCCTAGGGCCACTCATCCACTAAGGCGGCATCGTGTACCGTGTGAAAGCTGAGGCCAGTGCCTTCGGGCTTGTGCCATGAAGGCAAGAGCACAGTACGCCAAAAGGATCTGCAAGTGAGCCCAAATAAATCTTGCACACAGACACAACGATTCTCTTCTCTCACCTGCCACGCACAAGGCCTAAGAATATTTTCCAATTCTTTTTGGCACCGAAATTGTATGGGTTTATGTAAATGCGTTGCTCTTTGAGTAAACGTTTGCGCTCAGCTTCGTTGATGTGCGACTCCACGCTGGTCTCGCCGCGTGTAATCAATTTCGCATGCCAGCTGCAGAGTGTGCCCAAGGCTATGACCACAGCCACATTGGTGAAGGCCATGAACCACAGTGCCCTGCGCCTGCCCGGCGATGGAGCATCCGTGTCCAAGACTGGCGTGGGCAGATTGTGCACGGCCGCTGGCAGATCAAACTCATCGTACTCATGGGGATGTGTCTGCAAGGCATTGAATAAATTGCATAAAATATTCAATCTTAGATTTGTTAATGGATTTACCACTGGAATTATGTGTCCACTGAGATTAAACTTCACTGGTTGACCCACTAGCGGCTCCAGCTCGGTCCAATTCTCTCCGTGATCAAGCCAAAGGTATTTATAGCCAATCTCCACGCCAAACAGAATGAGAAACAGGCAGCCCAGCGTGGTGTACAGCATGTAGAGGAAGAAGTAGCGATGATTGCCATACCCCACACAATTGTTTAGCCAAGCTGTGTGGAAGGAACAGACTCAAATAGATCAGGGAGCTGGCTTAAGGTTGTTATACCTACGGCAGTGATGATCCATTTTCAGCACACAACGATTGCACACCGAACAGTGATGAGTGCGTGGCGGTTTTGGGGTCACACACTTGCCACACATGGTGACGGCCTCCACCAGTAATACATTCTCAGGCGGATGGCCGGGCGGTGTGATCACAGCCATTATATAGTGGAAAATGACATTCAGGAGCAGCCAATTGCCGACTATGAGAACAAATGCCAAGGCCAGCTGGCCCTTGGCCAACCAGAAGGGGAAACCAATCCAATAGGCAATGCTGACAACGGCCGTGGTCAGACAAGCCACTCCGATCACAAAGAACTGAAAGTGCAAGCTGCATGAGCATAATTATTGGTGGTGCTAGAAATCTCCAAATAAATACCGGTCCCAGGCAGTGGGTGTAATTGTCCACAACCCAAAAGATGGGTGTCATGCACACATCCGAGGCATAGGAGCTGTTCATATGAGCATTAAAGGTGAGCGAGTGCCAGCAGTGCTTCATGTAGGACCAACGTAGCCGGCACGACGATCTAAAACAATAACAAAAACATTAGCAAAGATTCAATGCCTCTAGCACGTGGAAGATGCGACTTACAGCAGTTCCTGCGTGGAGTTGCCACGCCATGTTATCCGCACCATTTCGGAGGTTTATGTGGTCCTAGTTTGATTAATAATTATTGCATTTTTTTGCATAAACAAATGGGACTATTTCGCAAAACAATTTTCTTCAGATTCGTGATCAGCTGTGCCAGCGATTGTACTATCGATTGGCATTTCGATGATGCACTTTCGATATGCAACAATTCAAAACAATATTGTGAGTCAAGATAAGCTAAAGTGTAGTTGCTTAATAGATTATTATCTTACAAGAATTGTTAATTACTATGCAGAACGTGTCAATATTTCAACTGTAAAATGCTTTCAAATTTGCCACTTGAGATCATTCTTAAAGTGTTTGGCTACCTCAAGACAAACTGCAACTGGCGCGAGTCAACCAACATCTTGAACTAATACCAAAATATTGCACCAACATAGAATCTGCTACACTGGAGATTAGACTTGAGATGCTCAACGCGTGCAAGGGGATTTTAAGCATAAAAAGCCTATCAACCATTTATCTGGTAAATGGCGATTATCGCGAACCGGATATGTTGCAGAGTATTGACTTTAATTGACCTCTCCAATGTTCAGTGTAAGAATTTTCGTAACTTAGATAGAATTAATATTTAAATACTGATGTTTTAGCTCAAAATGTACGGCAATTGATTCACTTGGAAGAATTGGATGTTGCTCCATTTGATTACTTGGCAGACATGCTTAAAATATGAGAGGAGAATGAAAACGAACCTCAGATGTGTGGAATTTAATAAGAGTTGTTCATTGTACCGAATATGATTGAAATTCGCTCAAATTATCGCACAAAAATACCGATGTTGTTTTGAAGTAAATCTTCGCAGCGATACCCAAATCGATATAATAATATATCAATTATTTAACATCCCTATTCAATTTTGCGCCCGTCAAAATAAAAAATATTTGCATTTTCTTTTGAAATTAGAATTAGATTTGAAACTAATAACAAATTGTAATGCGCTCGCGCACCAGAAGTCGCAGCCCACAAAGGCGTCGCGAGAGGCGTGAGGAACCCTCTCGCTCGGACAGAAATGTGAGCAACAAGCCGGAGCGCCGCCGGTCGCCACTACGCAAGAGCAGATCCGTTTCCCAGGCACGCTCCCGCTCCGACAGACGAGTGAGCAGCAAGCAGGATCGCCGCCGCTCGCCATCTCGCTCCAGGGAGAGGGAGAGGGACAAACCACGCCGCAATTCGCGCGCGCCACAGGCAGGTCGAAAAAATGAACGCGAGCGTCGCCGCTCCCGGGATAAAGTATCAGCAGCACAGCGTCGTCGCTCCCGATCCCGTTCTCTATCGTCCAGCAGCTCCTCAAGTGGCAGCAGCAGTGAGGAAAGCGGCAGCAGCAGCAGCGACAGTCGCACGACAAAGAAGAAACCGGCCAAGCCTGTGGATCGCTGGCCCAACGACCGCTTCAAGGACTATAATGATAAGAGCAAAAATCCCTTCAAAGGTTGGGTTGCTGGAGGCACCTTCATGGACGATCCTGCAGAGCCTTCTACCCGTTCATCCCACTACAAGGGACGCGGTGTGCCCATCTATAATGACATCAGAGCCATCGATGCTCGTCGCGAGCAACGTGTGCGCATTGGGGAAGAGGGCGTGCCAGATGTGTGGGCCAAGAGCCCGACCCGCGACGAGCTAGACGATGTGAAGCTGGTGAAGGGCTCCTACGTGGGACCCAAGAAAAAGAAGAAAAAGAAGGACAAGGGCAAGAAAAAGGATAAAAAGTCAAAGAAGAAATCCAAAAAGTCAAAGAAGAGAAGGAGCAAGAAGGATTCAAGTTCCTCCGAAACATCATCCAGCTCTGGGAGCAGCGATTCCAGCGACGACAGCTCCTCCAGCGACAGCTCAAGCTCGGAAAGCGAGGACGAGGACGTGTGGCTGGAGAAGACGGCCGATGGCATTAAAAAACCAAAAAAGAAAAAGGCCTCCGTCTCCAAGAGAGATAAAAAGAGCAAAAAGAAGAAGCGCAAGTCTGACAAGGCCGAAAAGTCGAAAAAGTCATCGTCTGGCAGTGGCAAATCACGGTCCAAGAATGGCGGCAACAACGACGAGGATGTGGGCCCATCGCTGCGCCCATCTGGTAGCTTGAATCAAAAGGATTTCGGACGTGCCCTGCTGCCGGGAGAAGGGGCTGCCATGGCCGCCTACATAGCCGATGGCAAGCGCATCCCGCGTCGTGGTGAGATTGGACTCACATCCGACGAGATTGCCAACTTTGAGTCTGTGGGGTATGTAATGAGCGGCAGTCGTCATCGTCGCATGGAGGCTGTGCGTATCCGCAAGGAGAATCAGTTGTACTCCGCGGACGAGAAGCGCGCCCTGGCCATGTTCAGCAAGGAGGAGCGTCAGAAGCGCGAGAACAAGATACTGTCGCAGTTCAAGGACATGATTCACTCCAAACTCCAGGCAAAGGACAAAAAGTAGACACACAACAAATAATGTAAAACGAAAAGGGGAAAAATGTAAAAAGAACGAAAGGACAAGAAAGAGTTTTAAAAAAATAGTTTTATAATAAAACACCCCGTTGCATGTCCCGCCGAAACTTTGGTATTTTGTATTCTACCGCCATTTGGTCACACTGTTGAAATGCCTGAAAACGTGGGGTTAAAAAACTCAGCAAAAAAGTGTCCTAATTTAATTGATTTACACTAAACTTACATAATTACATGGTTAAAACGACATTGGCTAATTAGCAATTAGTCTATTAAACACGTTTCATCTGAAAAGTGTAAATTTCGTGGGATTTTGCATATGCCAATAACGCGGCAGCGTAGAGCCCCTCGAAGTGCAAGCGAGACAGCAACAAACACGAAGCGCAGAGCAAAACAAAGTTCGCTAACCGGCAGATAAGGCAGAATATGAAGCAGAGGGCGAGAGTGAGAGTAAATGAATGATAAGAGCCGCCAAGAGCCAACGACAATTGAAGCAGAACACACACATAAACACCCACACACCCATTCATATATAGAGGCCCTTATATACAACACACACACACACACACACACACAGACACAACAGTTGCGGCGCTTAATCAATTGGCTGGACACTGTCAGCGGAGGCGCCGTAGTAGTCCATTTCTGCTTTGACCGTCGACAGTCGCGTGCGTAGATAGAGCTTGCCGTCGGCCGCGGACATCCTCACCAACCTCCATCATGCCTTCCAACGAGTTGCAGTCGCCCACCAGCGAAATGGTGCTGCTCACCCCCAACTCTGACAATCCGCCCAGCATAGTCGCTGCTGCCGCCAAGGATCAGCCACGCGAGGGCTCCGCCGAGTCGGACAACAGTCGCGTGGTGATGAAGAAACAGCTGGGCCTGCTGGAGGGTGTGGCCATCATACTCGGCATCATCTTTGGCTCTGGCATCTTCGTCTCACCCAAGGGCGTGCTGCGCGAGGTGGAATCCGTGGGCGCTTCGCTCATCATTTGGGTGCTGTGCGGCCTGCTGTCCATGATTGGTGCCCTCTGCTACGCGGAGCTGGGCACAGCCATACCCAAGTCGGGCGGTGATTACGCTTACATCTTCGAGGCCTACGGATCGCTGCCGGCTTTCCTATATCTCTGGGATGCAATGATGATATTTGTGTGAGTGTCACTCTGGGGTCAATTACTTAATTGCTGGAACACACAGATTAGACGGCACGGGTTCGGATCGGTTGTGGCAGCAACCACCAGTTGTAGTTTGTTGTAGTTTGTGCGTGCTGTCTGTCAAGGTTAAGCCCGTGTATTCATGAAAAGTGAAACACATTCATTATCACCTGTAATCTATCACCGGCACGGCGCACCTACACAACGAAACATCAAAAATGGATTTATGGGGGGGGACCCATTGATAGCACATGTCTGTGTCTTGCATTAACTGTTTTACGATTTGATATTTTTGCTATTTGGAATCGCCGATAAGGCCACACAACCAACATTCGTTTGCCTTAAAGCCTGTGACAATAGAGCGAGAAGATAATCTCGGATTTCATTCGGAGTAAACTTTCCATTGATTCAATTGTTTTTCTAATCTGTTCTTCTTCTGCAGACCCACAACGAATGCGATTATGGGACTGACGTTTGCCTCCTACGTGCTGGAACCCTTCTTCGACAGCCCCTGCCAGATACCGAAGATTGCCCTGCAGCTGCTGGCTGCCGTCACCATATGCTTCCTCACCTACCTCAATTCGTACTACATGAAAGTCACAACGAAGATGCAGAACATCATTATGTTCACCAAGATTGCCGCTCTCGTGCTGATAATAGTCGTGGGTCTGGTGTGGATGCTCATGGGCAACATGGAGAACTTTGATAAGCCCTTCGAGAACACTGAGACTGATCCCGGCAAGCTGTCGCTGGCCTTCTACTCGGGCATCTTCTCGTATGCCGGCTGGAACTACTTGAACTTCATGACGGAGGAGCTGCGCGACCCGTACCGCAATCTGCCGCGTGCCATTTACATCTCCCTGCCTCTGGTCACTGGCATCTATGTGCTGGCCAATATGGCCTATCTGGCAGTGCTCACCCAGTCCGAGATGTTGGCCTCCAATGCCATCGCTGTGGTGAGCATCAGTTCATCAATTGTCTGCAGCCAATCGGGAGCGGAATATCAAACAAACTTTTTCTCTTTTCTCATTCGCAGACCTTTGGCGATAAAATTCTCGGTGGATTTTCTTTGATCATACCCATCATGGTGGCCATCTCTGCCTTTGGCGGCCTCTCAGTGCACATTATGACCTCGTCTCGCATGTGCTTCGTGGGCGCCCGCAATGGACATATGCCGGCTATTCTGTCCCACATCAGCGTGAAGAGCTACACGCCGCTGCCGTCGCTGGTTTTTCTGGTGAGTCGAAAATTGACGCACAAAACATGTATTGGAATTGCCTTGTAATTGGTTCTGTTCTCCTCCCCCTGCCATGTGTAGTGTTTTCTCTCCATTCTGATGCTGGTGGTGAGCGATGTTTATGTGCTGATCACCTACAGCAGCATTGTGGAATCGTTCTTTATCATGCTCTCGGTGTCCGCTGTCCTGTACTTCCGCTACACGCGCCCCTGCATGGAGAGGCCAATTAAAGTGAGTTTAGCCGGCAGCGTGGAGACATAAATATTGTATAATCCATTGCTTGGTGTCTCTGGACAGGTCTCTTTGTGGATACCCGCTGTGTTTGTTGTCGTGTGCGCCTTCCTAGTGGTCGTGCCCATTTATGTGGCGCCCGATGAGGTCGGCATGGGTGTATTAATCACCCTAATTGGCATACCATTCTATTATGTGGGAGTCGTGTGGCAGAATAGACCGAAATGGCTGGAGCGCACGATTGGTGAGTTGTTGCTCCTTCTTCCTTCTCATATTATTCTCATGTGTATAACATTTCTTGCCTTGCCATTTGAATAGACTCTCTGACCTACACGTGCCAGAAGCTCTTCCTGTCCGCCAAGGAGCAGAAAGAGGATTAAACAAAGACAAACCGCGAACATGCATCACATGGAACACATCACAACGCAGTACAGCCGGCAAAATTGGTACCTTTTTCTATATTTATACCTACACAAAGCAGCTGACGGGAGCAGAGTGGAATCTACCAAAAAAGAAAACCCCACAACAAAGTGAAAAAGTCAATATGTAATGAATCTTGTGACTTGCTTGGAACTAAGTGAAAATCTTTTATATATTTACATACAACATTGACCTTAAGTGCAAAAAAACATGTCGAATAGTAGTTTATAGTTGATAGCTCAGACCAAACGCTTCTTAGACTTTATTTCGACTGATTTTTTGTTTAAATTCGAGACCAAAACTGTTTTGCCAAAGTTGGAATTTTCAGTTCTAAAATCTGCCATTAATAAGCGGTTCCTTAACCTTTATTTTGTTGCATTTCTAATTTGTTACTGTGTCCCCCCCCCCCCCTTATTTAAATTATTCATTAAATAAAAATTTTTTGTACGTTTCATTGTGACTTTTAGGCGCTGCCCGCAAAAGTATGCCACAAGATGTGGCCATCAGATAAGCCGAAAAACGCTCAGATAAGGCCTCAGGGGTATCAATTGTAAGAAAACCCTATCCGACAGCGGCTCTCCCGCTAATCAATTATAACTGATAGCCAATGGTGTGGTTTACCTGGAACGTTTTTCTATTTTTCTATTTTGAAGCCCCCGTGGGGACAGGGAATGCGATTTCTGGCCAAAAATAAACCTCCCCTCTGACATTTTGGACATGTCCGGGGCAAACAGCACAGCATGACGCCAGCACTATACATATCAGCCAGCTGATAGAGTATTCCATACCGAGCACCAGACACAGACGCTTTCGCGTAGGTGTTTTTTAATTGATAAAACTGTAGCGCGTATTGAAGATGCCTGGCACGGCCTGGTCTGGCCTGGCCTGGACTGGCCTGGCCTGGTCGCGGGTGCGCCGAATCTATGCATAACTAGAAGGTGGAGAGAACACGCTGCCGCTGGCCTAATTTGTATGCGCCTGATTTAAGCGTCTCTTTTAATGGCTTTTTAAGCATATGCAAGGCAGGGAGAATATGCACACTTATTCCACCAGATCGGTCGTAAAATCGCTTCCATTTGAATTGTATCTTGATGATGGCTTAATAATTGAGTTATTGGTACGTTCTGTGCATGCTGAACGATGCTCTCGAGGCTGTAACTACTTTGTGGTTAGACAACGATCTCTGTTCTAGTTCGAGTCACAAGTGCCGGTAGCTGATTGCAGGCACGTGAGTGCTGTGCTGCTGCTACTGTCACACAAAGAAAAACAATATTTGATTAATTGTTCTACTACTCCTACGTATACCATATTTATCTTCGCCAATTGGCAGTTTACTTTGTTGATTGATTCGAAGGCGTAATCTAGCAAATATTTAGTTAGTTTTATCTGTGGATCAGAAGTTTGCATAATCAATTGACTCGGCGAAAGAAGCTCGTCTGATGTGGGTTGATGATGGGGCATTCGTTTGTCCAAGCCTCATGTGATAATCATGCGATTATTTGCTGGCCGGAGCTCAAAGATTGACACCTTTTTTGGGCAAAGATCAAGCTGGAGGCTCTAAACAATCAGAATCGTGTTGCAGCAATTAAAGACGGCCAGCGGAAAAGCCAAGCTGCACAGACCGACCAGAACTGGTAAGCAAAACAAATGCCAAATGATTGTAATTGGAGGGGTCTTCTGCTGGCAAGAGCCACCAAAGCGAGGCCCACTCCTATGTAAGCTTACAGTGGTAAAGCCTTGCCCCAGACACATCGATCAACTATCTGACTTCGCGTGGCTGTGCATAGCCATAAAGATATAAATAGCTATCAGTTCGGTTCGTTCTAAATGCCATTTACAATTCCGCCACATTCTCATGTAGATCACGAACTTCCTATACAAGTGTAAATGCGCTCAAAAAAAACTACAACTAAATGTTGGAAACTGTAAAACGTGCGAAAAACGCTCAATGAATTTGATTCTGATTTTGCCGCACCGATTGGCTGGGCGACTGCTGAAGACCCCGCGTTCAATTAGCGGCTTTCGGCATGACGTTGTCGCGACTTGTTGGCTTAGTAACCGCTACCGCTACCGCTACCGCTGAGAACACCCCCTTTCCATTTGGGCCATAAGCAAATAAATAAATCAGCCAAAATTGTATGCAAAACAAAATATTATCAGACATGATCGAAAGCAGTTACCACTCTGGCTGGTGTTTGCCATTGGCATTAGGTGCGAATTATGACGAATTTTCTTTCCCTTTGATTTTTGCCAATCGCAATCGGATGGCAATCGCACTCGCACTCGCACTCGCACGCCCCTGGCATTGATTCCTTTTGTGGCCTTTGAACAGTCCGGCCCATGACACGTCAAGTATACGCGATGTGGTGCAACAACAGTTCGGTTTTCTTTTATTCTATCCTAGTGGCCCGATTTCCCGATCACCGACACAGTACTCCATCCATCGCGATCGAACGATCGATCGTCGTCGTTCTAGGCAGCTCGGTTCGTGCGCCTCGCGACGTCTGTGTGTCTGTGTGTGCGAGTGTCTCTGTATGTGTGTGGTGCACGCGCTTCGGGCGGGGATTTCAGCTTTCGAATTTTCAAGTAGTTCGTTGACTGCCCGCTGAGGAAGTTGTGAAGGTGCCTCGCAAACGGAACGTCCGCGCAGTTTAGAATCTGTCACCCGATCGGAAGGTGCTACAAACGCTTAAAAGGAGCTCTCCACTTCTCTCGCTCTCAATAAACAATTGAAATATAAACTCAACCATGAAATCATCCATAATAATCGAAGCTTCCTTCCTGCTCATCTGCTGGACTCAAGGTGAATATTCCGTTCAAGGATACGCACTCACGTATCTTGTGTGATCGATCCACTGTCAGGTGATTCATAATGTTCAAACGATCATAAATCGATATCTATTCTGGTGAACTTTCGTCGGTTAATAGTAGTCAGATGTGTGGACAGCTCATGCTCGTATTTGTTACGGGTTCCCCCTGCTATGTCTTGGCATTAACAGTCATAAGTACGCACTTCACGAACCAAATTTCGAGCACTTTAATGATATTTATTACACTTGAAACTGTCAATTAGTACAGTTTACGGCATTGACCCATTGATTTTGATGGATTGATTGCTCATATAAGGTGGCCGGGAATCGCTTTGTCTATTGTGGGAACTTGCGTAACATGTAAATGGTTGTCTTTATAGATAACATCTCCAGGATCTCCGCGATACCTAAAAGTAATCTTTAATTTGATTCTACAATCTATCGATTTTATCTACAAGTACGTGTATTTATTGGCAAAATTTGTTTACAACGCACTTGCCACCGAAACGGTAATGAAAATTAAATGTTAGGCACTTGCTGGATGACATAATATCTAATGGTCATAGATGACAGCAGAATTGATTACCCAAGCAAGTTGATAAGCGCGACTACAAATAAATAATAGTCACAATATTATAATAGGTAAACCAACTAATTAAACTAATTTATCAAATGGACAAACAGCAGTTTCTGCAGACATTCTCTCTCTCTCTCTCCCTCCCTCTCTACTTCTATCTCCCTCTTGCAATGGAAAAACAGTGTCATATGATGTGTTAATTCGCTGTGAAGCTTTTCAACACACAAATTATCACCAATCACATGCAAATTAGCCTTTAAACAAGTATTTCCTTTTCGCCTTTCGCGGGAACATTCCATTGAATTTTTGCACTGTGAAAATTAAATGAAAATTACTATTTGCCCTGTCTCCATTATCTATCCCACAATAAATAAATATATCTAAATCAATACTGCGATACTTATCTGAATTTGTTGGCCAGAACGTGCCCTTGGGGCTCACGCTCTTTGTGCCGAACTTAGCCACTTGTCTGTCCGTCTGTCTGTCTGTCCGTATGTCTGTCTGTCCATTGACTGCCGCTGAAAAAAACATTTCGTATTTGTTTGCTGTGCCATCTATTATGCGGTAATTCACAAGTGCTCCTATATGTCAGAGATAGGATCCGCGAGAAGGTCGAACTCGGCGCGGGGTGAAAGACATTCGGCACGTGATCGTCTGCAAATGTGGAAAACATTCCATTAAGTGAGGATCCTTGCTAATGAAATCCTTTCACTGTCGTTCCTCTTCAGCTGTCAGCAGTCATGTGTTTGGCTACTCGGAGCCCAATCAGCGGCGCTGGGCCCGGCATCATGGCCACTGTGCCGGCAAGACGCAGTCGCCCATTGCCATCACCACGAGCAGGGTAAGCTGTGACCTAATTACCCCTTGGCCAGTCCTCTAATCGAGCGTGACTTTGCCCTTTTTGCAGACCGTACCCGTTCATATGCCAGCCGTGGATATGATTGGCTACCACAACCTACTGCCGTATCCCCTGAAATTGGTCAACAACGGACACACGGGTAAGTGAGAGAGAGAGAGAGCAAACCAGAGAGCAAAAGTTTGATTGATGGCCTCCCCTCCCCCCCCCCCCCCCCCCCCCCCCCCTCTTGCGCTCACCCCGCCCCCCCCCCCCCCCCCCCCGCAACAACCCCCGACGAGGCGCCCCCG